TTTCTTGTTCATCAATTCACTTGCTTCTAAAGATCTTTCCGTTGTCAAATACCGGAAAGAATGAGCGGAGTATACGCATGAGCTCTTTTTCCTAAACTCGATTTTTGATCTTAAAAACGACGTTTATCTGCTTTAAAGACTTCACAATCTGGTGAATTCTCTAAATAATATACAATATAATAAAATTACATTTATTATTTACAAAAATATACCGCCAACCCCGCTCAAATAATCCGGCTGGATCCTGCTGTGACACCTCTCGCTACACCGTAAGGCGGAAGGCATTAACAAGACCTCGTATGTCACGGAAGCAACCGCAGATCTGCACAGATCTGGCCGTCTTCTCATCTTATATCGTGCATTTAGCACTCTTATCAAACCATATAAGAAAAAAATATTAGAACTGCATTCTTAAAAATCTGTTTTAATTTTTTATGTAGGTCTGTATTGTAGCGGTACGAATCTATCTAAATAATTAGAACTAAACGTAGATTTAAGAAAGAATATTCTCAAGAAAGGATCCTACGGGTCACGGCACGACGCCTCCTTCTTCAACAGCCACGATCCGCCCGACCATTTTCAGCCAGTTTATGGCCCGATCGGCGCGAAGAAAAGGTGAGTTGTTTAGGCGCTCGCTGGCGTCCCCGTCCGGAACGTTTTCGAAACGCTGTCCCCGAGATCGGGGAAGCACAAAGATCAATAATTCAGTAACGCCGGGAAGCCCTTTCAGAGACGTGGCCTACTTTCCAACGATAGAGAAGACACACGCGGCGACAAAACAGAGGATGGAAAATTTTCAGCAATCAGCTGGAGTGCTTATTGGCCAGAATTTGTGTAAGACGCCATCACATTGGCCAATAAGTGCGCCGATCGTCATCGGGAACTCGAACATACGAGAAGAAAGGGGATGGGAAGTTACTTTATACTTGAAGGAGAGACAAAATCGACATTATACATTACTATATCTACTACTGCTAGGGCGGAGCAGTCGGAGGAAGAAGTGCGAGCACCTTTGGGGGACAAAGGGAGGAAGAAAATTTTTTAGAGAGAGGCGGTGGTGACACTCGGTGAACGGGGTTGAATCGAAGTTTTTGATTTCGAGGGAAGTGCGAAAAGCACTTTAGGGAAGTGTCGAATCTTGTATTTGCGTATTTCGCTGCAGGATTTTCGCATTACTGAAATTTTTATTCGAAGGATCGCATACCAGAGGGAGACATTGTTGTGTTCTCGCTACCTGGATCGAGGCGGATATCCCGGATATCTACAAGTCCCGCCGAAGCCAGCCCCAGACGTCCATTCGCCTGACGTCACTGACCACCCGCTCAGACGCTGCGGCCGCCGTCTGGTGAGGTCGTGCGCCAGACGCATTCCATGAGGAGGCCGTCCGGCGTCCACAAGCTTCCCCGCGCGCCCACCGCGGGCCTATTGAAACGGCTTCTGCCACGGAGGGCCAACAAACAATAGACGCGGACGAAGACAAAAGACTTTTAAACAGACTCAAAGCAAGTACAAACCGACTCTCAAAACTACGAGACAAACAAATACCAACGACTTACTTAATGACAAAAGCAGCCCCACAATATACACAAAGTGATAAAGCAGTACGAGACACTATCCCGAATTTTCCCCATTTACACATCCTCAAAACTCGCCTAACTTCGATCCTCAAAAACATTGCCGAAGCCCCTTTGCCCAAACCTGGCCGACCGTTTCTTCGCGACGCACCACCATCCTATACCCAAAACGTACTCCTTAACGCCACGAGAACCCAACCTATCCCCAATCTACAACAGACTTGGACGACAACACACGGAAATAATGACAAATACTGACAAAGACCAACCAAGAAAAGCTCCGGACCCTGATGGAATACATCCAGCCTCAATCCGGCAACCTCCTCCCGAAAAACGCCATTGACCTCAATCACCCTCATCTTAATTTCCTGTTTCAAACGCTCTTACTTCCCTCCATCTGGGAAAACAGCTCGTGTGTCATGATTCCAAACTGGCAAAGATCATCGGCACCACCAACTATATGACCCATCAGCGTCTCCCCATTCTAAGCAAAACATTCGAAACAACGTGATTCTCCTCCGCTTAACTCCTATCATTGACCCATCCTAGATCCAATTCATTCGGCTTCCGTGAGGGTCGCTCGGCGGCCTCCAAACACAACCTATCCTATCCATAGCCACATCCCCTCCAAGACCGGAACAGAAAATCCCTACATCCTTACCGACCTCACCCAAGCCTACACACAATATCATCCATCCTCCTAGCGAAAATCCGTACCCAAATATCCTAAACGCAATCACTTCTACTCTAAAGTCCTTAACCTCAAGTTTCCTTCTATTGTCCAATATCACTCAAAAAATACACCCAACCACCCCCATCGCAAGCCGGGTCCCACAGGCGCCGCCGTGCCTTCTCTCCACTCCTAATTTCTCTATACATAAATCGGAATTCCCTATCCCTCCGGAGTAGGAGAATTCCTCTATGCCGATGATCTAGCATTCCTTGCTTCCTTCCGCAAACCTCCCCGCTCCCTAACCGAACGTCCAAAAATCCCTCGACTGCTCCTTCCACCATCTGGGCTCCAAACTCATACCATTAAACCCCTCAAATCCCAAGCCAACCTTTTCTTCTCTATAAAACCTATCCATCAAACCTCCCCCTCTGACATAAACCAACCCCCTATCCCCTGGCAACCCCATGTCAAATACTCGGTCATCACCAGTTTCCCGCAAGACGTCCTTTGGTCCAAACATGTCCTTAATACTACCAAAAAACACTCAACCGAATCACAAATTGCCTTCACCCTATCCTGTTCCAATCCATCTATCCAATCCAAAAAAGAATCCAAGCCTACAACACTCACATCCGCCCAACCCTATCTATGCCCATCCTACAGGTTCAATAACCTCCATAATAAACTATAGCAAAATTACGCGTACAAGAAAACCAGAGTCATCCGCCCTTATTTTCCGCCCCCCTCGCGCTAACTCCGTTTTAATAATTTAAGAGATTTACACAATAGGCAATATACTCACATACTCTATAATCCTCAGCCCAAACCATATAAAAAATTCATTACCGATCCCCATTCAGAAAATATAATCATACCCCACCCACCATATCCTCCGTAATCCCCCAGACATACACGGAAAAAACAGCCCCTTCGATATCCTGCAACTCCCCTCCCATTACCTAGGCCAAAGGGTGGACAAAGAATAACCGACTAACGACGAAAAAAACACGGACTGAAACACAGACCCACGACGGACCAAAGAACGACACATACTTTCTCCCAACCCTTCCTACTCCCTATCCACTCCTCTCCCTAATCCTTCCCTCCTCTTCCCTACTAACCAAACCCCTTCAACAAAAATTACCCTAACAGTTCTCTCCCTCCCCGACTCCCAATCCCCGACCCTGTACGGAAGAAGGAGTCAGCAACTTTAACAACAAACTACTGAAAGAAGATAAAAACTGGACGAAGAGTCTCGCAAGAGACAGGGGTGCCAGGAACAAACCCGAAAGAATCATACACTCACTTCACTCAGAGGGCCACAGGCAACGTAAACAGGGGCAATAAGCTCTTTAGAAACTATTGTCAAAGCGGTGCCTCGCTAAGGCACAGAAAGGTCCTCAGGGAAAAATTTGTAATTGTAACCGTAGAATAATTTTTGTATCACTTTTCTTTAGTTGTAATTTCTCCTTTAATTTTAATCTTTATTTTTTTATTATTCAATCTTTTCTTTCTTTTTTTATTAATGCAAGTTCCCTGGTACAGCTTTGTCCAGGAATAAACGTTGTCTTTTTTACCAGTAACCAAATTGTTTATTTTGAATGCCCATGAATTTAGTTAACAATTTCTTCCATCACCTAATTTTTAAATGAGTAAAGGGAATAGAACCGACTGAGCTAAGACCGGGCCGCTAACCGCACATTTTCCAACGATCCCACGTCGCCGGTCGATGCGTGGGGGTGTTACAGTAAGTAACTCAAAATTTCACAAAATTGTCCAAATTTTCAAAAAAATGTTCTTGACATTAATTAAAAAAAACTATTTGTGTAGAACATATTTCAGGAAGAGGAATAGAAAACTCATTTTTGAGACACATAGTACAGATTTTGAAGCACTTGTACTCGAAAATGCAATAATGTATACAAATATCCGGTAATATAAGTATTAACATTAGAGAGGAGTTAAAAAAACAACACATTTGTGTAATTTCTGTAGAAAAAAAGGATAGAATAAAGAGAAATGGCGTTTATATCAATAGACAGTGCATTTAGCACTATTCCTACCAAAAAAATCGAAGAAAAAATTAACGTGAAAACTACTAAAATTTTCAAAGAAATAGTAATGACAATAAAAAAGCTCACTATGAAGAATAAATTTTACTTCAAGAAGAAATCATTATCTTCAATACTGTAGTACAGTATAGTAGGCAAAGTACAGAAGGACGTTTTCAATTGAAATGTGTATAATTTGGAAATCCTTCCTAATTTTTTGCGCTTCTTGTTTCATGCGAAAAAAGTAGATGTCTTTTGATATTTCACATTGAGCAAGTTTGACTGAATTTTTTTTCTTCAAAGTTTTGTATCCTGTTTTTACTAAAGGAGCTGTTTATAACACTAAAGAGGGGGTGGAGATTTTACGCAGCATTACATAGGGGTAGGGGCACGTAGTTTAGTGTTATGTCATATTGATATTTATTTTTAAAATTTTTTTATTTTAAAATGGTGGTGGGAATGTGGTTAGCAATAATTAATTAGTAGTGATAATGTTGATAGGTTAGACTGGTCTCTGCGATCAAGACGAGACTTGGACAAATTTTGGAAACGTTTCCAATTCAAAACTTATTGTTACTGATACAAACTAATTTTAAAACTGACTACGCAGATGTGAATTGAATTGTAATATTAAGAAATAGTTGGATAGGCAACAGGTTTTTGATGATTAATTTTTGTTTCTGTCAATTCAATTTGATGTAGGTTTTGAAGGGCAATTATTGATTTATTCATTACATAGATTTATATATTTTACACAAAAAAGTTATTTCGCAAATTACTACGTACTGAATAATGATTCACTAAGGGGCCTTGGCATGCCATTTTAAGGACAGGAGTGACTCATTTATGAAATGGTATCTACCGGGTAGCACACCAAACACTGCAATTCAGAACTGCTTCATTTATTTATTATTCAGAGATTTTTCTTGTAATTTTCTTAATTATTTCTAATGTAGTAGTATTTTATCAGTCTTCTTTTATATGTAGTACTTATGATATTAATCTTTATTTCTTGAAAAGGAATATTATTTTTGTGTCAGTGACAGTATTTTCTATTATTCTTTTTACATGATTGACATCAGAAAATTAATCAGTATCAACTTTTTAAGCACTGCGTTCATTACCTACATGCATTTGGTAGAAAACATGGGTTTTGCTGGGATATTACATCTATTTCTTTGTTATTTTCCTAAAAGTAAAATCTAGTAAAACCTTACAGACTCCTATTCTGTAAAAGTGCATTCAACTTTTTCTCAATGAGGTTATCATATATGATTTGAGAAAAAAGAATTGTACAAAAAAAAAACAAATTTTAATTATAAGTTTCTAAGAATTCTATTTAGGAAGTAGAAGTTCAGTTACTTGCAAAAGTAATTAAATAAGTGTATCAATAGGGCACTTAATCTTGTACAAACATTAAATTTTTCAAACACACAATGACAAATTGATAAAGTGAATACCATGTGTACAACATTGCTGTCAATCTGTTGTATTTGAGAAACAAAATCTCCCAAACTACTTAACTACTAGGGAACGTTTTCAAATAATCATTTAAAAATTTTAAGTATTAATTAACTGTTAACTACCAATAATGAATGCATTGTTTCATGTATACAAGTTTAAGAATTAAAATTGTTTCACTATTCTTTCACTGATCTTAAAAACTTCACTGATAAATAAAATGCTATGATCCTTGCCTAAGTAAATGCTTATTATGAATTAAATACACAAGTTAATGCATTTGCACTAGAAACTAAAGATAACATCATTGACAAGCTTAACTTTATTTGCAATTGTAAATCCCCTCATTACAAAAAAAAATTAAAATTAACTTTCAACGGCTATGTTTTATTTCAAATAATAATAATCTAAGTAACAGAAAAGGGGGGGGGGATTAAAGACCAAAAAATTGGGTGCAGTAGAAAACACTGTAGCCTCTACACCCTCCCTTTACATTTACCCTAAAATACATAAAGAAACATTCTAAAATAAGGAAAGGATTGTATGGAAGCTGGATATCTAATATTATATGACAACATAATTTTATAAATGACACAAGAAGTATCTGGAATTAAATTTTATCTATTTAATTTTTACAGTGTTTCAATCTTTACATTAATGGTAAATGCCACAATTTTAGGGCATTACTTTTTGTACTGAGGGTTGTTGGGATTCAGTTGTTTTGAATGATTGTCCAAATCTGCTTTGGTACCAGTGCCTTGGTAGCCTGATTTATGGCCTGCAACACAAGAAAGTATATTGTCATTAATCCTTGCACACAAATCAATTTACAAATATTATAAACAATAAATTAGGTAAATTCTACCTGGCCCTGTGGGAGAATGGTTTGGATTGCACTGGTTTGTCCTGTTATCTTGTGTAGCCTTATCCATCTGAAAGGAAAGAAAAAATTGTTTTAATGAGATCAAATAAAGTATCTAGTATAATAATTTTCTAATTTTCCACATGCCACAAGCCACCCAGTTAAATTACATACTTTAGGAACCCAGACATTACAATTCTTCCCAACCTTCACATCAAATGTAGTTCAGGAAATCTAATAGTGTCTGTGCAAAATAGAAATAGACCTACTTCAAATAATCAAGGCATTACAAATTTGGTTCAAAAGTTTGAGCATAAATGTGAAATTTGAGAAGTGCTGAATAAATAATAACCTTTGTCCACAACTGTACAATGAAGATTTCACATCTAAAAATGTACTAACCTTACAATCTTTCAAAAACAATTCCTGAACTTCCTTGACTTAATTAAACAATTATGATAGTTTCATTGAAAAAGTAATTGAGCATCCCTCCTGATCTTTTACACTTTGTGTTAAATGTAAATCTCATGTAAGCTCAAATATAATTCATGAATTCAAAATGAAGAAAGGTAGATACCTAATGGTCAGCTGAAAATATTACTATGATAAGTTTCTGATCCAATATATCTATATCTATATCTATATATCTATCTATCTAATATCTATATATCTAATCTATCTATCTATATATCTATCTATCTATCTATCTATATCTATCATCTACTATCTATTATATCTATATCTTATATCTTCTATCTATCTATATCTATTATTATCTATTATCTACTATCTATATCTATATCTATCTATCTATCTATCTATATTATCTATATTATCTATTATACTATCTCTATCTATTCTATCTATCTATCTATCTATATCTATCTATCTATCTATCTATATCTATCTATCTATCTCTATTATATCTTCTATCTATATCTTATCTATATCTAATCTATATCTATCTATATCTATCTATATCTATCTATATCTATCTATATCTATCTATACTCTATCTATTCTATCTATCTATCTATCTATCTATCTATCTATCTATCTATCTATCTATCTATCTTATATCATTATCTATCTATCTATCTTATCTATCTATAATATATTATATAAATATATATAAAATTTCACTTACTGAAATGACATAAAATTTAATAAATGAGTACGGACTATTAAAAACAAATGCAAATTCCTTATTCACGTCCCAGACACAAGTCATAAAATCTTCTGAATGACAACCAGGCACTAATTAAAAACTTATGTATGGATTTGTTAACAGATTCTAAACAAACACAGTAATTATTAAAGATGGGCAGAATGCCCTAAATCATGGGTGAAAATTTAATATGTAAGAACATCTACCAACAATAGTAGAGACTGCCAGACACACAAATGTCATCAGAACTACTCTGTCCCTGAAACATTCCCACAAACACTGAAATTAAAATGGCAAACAAACATGTAAAACATCACTTGAGATGGACACTCTACCAATTACATTACATTACTTGACCTTGACAGACTCTAAGAACTTTGGTACAAAACATGATCTCTGCCTAAATCAGGTAGACAAGCAGAAACTCAGTGCCAAGTTAACACAGCATGCTTTGGAGGCCTTGCCATCATCATGGGCACCCACCTCATCCCCACTTATCCCACCATTTCCACCAATCTCTACACTACCAAGCCATTCCCACCTTCACCCTCACCACCACCTCCATCTCCACTTACATCACCTCCATTTCACAAGCCTACCCCATCGCCCACACCTGTCACTCTCACACCTACTCCAACTTCTTCCCCTACTTCTAATACCCATTCAAAATACAACTTTCATTGCAACTGCACTTAACAGGAAATCCCACAACGCATAAAAACAAAAACTTTACTACATCAAAATGTTCAATCCTTAAGAAACAGGCTCACATATTTTAAAATATTATTTGAACAAAACCCACAACACTTAAAAATATTGTGCTTCACTGAAAATTGGTTGACTCAATAACTAGATAGCACACACATTACAGGAAATCCCTTAGCAAGAGGCTCATGTAGGCAAATAGACAAATCACATCATGCATTTGGTACTTATTGCATCATTGTTAAAAATAATATTCATTATATGTCAATCACAGAATACTCACCTCTCTTAAAAGATGAAAACTTTGAAGTATCTATTATAGATTTCCCAAAACAAACTCTGATTTTAGTGTGAACCACAATCCCACAAGGAACACAAACGTTTTCTTAAAATATCTTGTAATTGTTCTTGTTAATTTAAAAGATGCAGAAACTATAAAATTATTATGTGCTGATTTCAATATAAACTGTCTGTTAAAATCAAATGTTAAAAAAATTTTACTTAAATCTTTCAGCTTACAAACTGTTTAGACCCAAATCTATCAGGAAAGAAAAAAAGAAAGTACGGCCACTGACCAAATAATAATAGACAAAGTATGATTTCACATTTTCAGTTGTCACATTTAACAATACCATACGGTGCAAATTCTCAAACTTCACAAAAAGTATTAAGGAAACACTTTTAGAGAAACTTGAAACTTCTCTCAAGAAATCCTACACAAATTAAACTCATAAGTTCAAATGAGATGTTCAAGGCATCAAATAGAAATGCAAAATTTAAGTGGTTCATAAACATATTAAGTTACTTCAATTCTGTTTACCCACAGGACTTAGGAAAATAAAAACCAAAAATATAAGTCGTGGATGACCCAAGGAATCATTACATCATGTGAAAGGAAACAAATCATGCATTAAACAATCCTTTACAACATATTATGTAGATTTGATTTCATTGCTTACTACAAAAAATGCGAAAGTATTCTGAAGAAAATAATTAAACCATCCAAACTATAAACAAATCATTAACACATAGCTAAAACGCAAAACAAAACAAAACAAAAGCTTCCAGGAACATTGCGATAAACACTCTAAGAAGAGAAAAGAGAAATGCTAAAAACATTGAACTTCATCTACAAAAATAATGTTCTGGCACAAACCCAAAGGAAGTGTTCATATACGTATTCAATAAACATTTCCCCAAAAAGGGTGTGGAAGAGTCAGCTCGAGAAAAATTAATTCATCACAATAAGTTAATATAAATATGAGGTCCAAAATTCACACAACCCTGAACACATATTCTACATATATCACTGAAATATCACACACAGAAAAACTAAAAATCATAAATCAAATGAAAAATATGTTCTATATATGATAGGATAATATCACTAACAACGTTATTAAACATAGGCCTACTGCAACATAAATAATAGAACCACTCCATATTTGTAACCAGTCCTTAATGACAGGTATCTTCAATGAAATTCATATAAAAACCAGAAGTTGAGCCACTAATAAAAAAACACTCAAAACCTCATGAAATACATACCAATATCTGTCCCATCAGAATTTTCAAAAATTTTAATAAGTAAAAATATTTTCTCAGTTCAAATAACTTACTGACAATGATAGTTATGTCACGATTCTGTGTTGCCTAGCATAACTATTGATAATTGCAGAAACTTAATTGAAAATTTTTTGAAGCACTTCTACAAAAAAGAACAAAAATTTAAATGAATACATTTGAAATGTGTATGTGATTTTCGAATTTGAACTTTTAACGCCCTTATCTTTCACATGTTTTCCAGCTCCCAACTGAAACAGTTGTGTCTTGAGTAATATGGAAATGAATAAGTCTTGACCTCCTCGTTGGCCGAGGTTGTTATGTGGCATGTTCGGGTTTATCACTTGGAGCCAAAAGGTCGCCGATGCGAGTTTAATTTGATGAAAGTGTTGTGGAACACTATTAGGGGATTCTAGACACTGGATTGAGAATCATTTGAAGCATTTATGTCCACAAATGCAATCTTCACTAAAGCAAATAAACCAGACGTTCTATTTGAATTTGTAACTTTTGAACATTTTTTCAACTTAAATTTTCGATTTGTAAAACGTATGTCTCGTAAAATCAATTGTTGAGTTTTTGCGCATCTGTATGAATCAATTTAAGGAAGCTAATGAATCTATTGAAATGAAATTTAAATTGATTATTAACACTAGCCATATGACCAACTTAGATATCCCTAACTGTTCAGAAATTATTATTACTTTCTCGCCGTACGAATTCTTCGTAAGAAGAGAAAATTATGTAATCGTGCGCCAGAAAACTCTGAAATTTCATCAGAATAAATCTCATTGCCAGGTTTAGGTACAGAAAAAGTGGATAAATCCTGTTGCTAAATATGGAAAAAGATCTCTAACTCGTAGTATATCCAGAATCCATGTTTTGTTGGTTCTTGATACCAAAAAATCAACTAACGGCTAATATCCGTTTGTCTGTCCGTCTGCGGTTAACGCTAGCGCCTAAACTGCTCAGCTGATATTCTTCAAAATTGATATACACTGGTTGATCTTAACGGACTGGAGGCTTTGGGAGTTTCTAACGGATATTTTGGCTGTTGAAGTTTTTTCACATAAATCGGGCATTTGCCTTTTTATACGATACCTTAGCCAGAAGTGGAACCACGCAGCGCTACTGTGGCGAGTGGTATGAGTCTCGGAACGGAAAAATAATATGCTGATTGACAACACTTTTGTCACAAGTGTACGAGTTATGTCGTAGTAGTGTAATATCGCGGAGCGTTTAGAAACATTGCGACTAAGTATGTGCTTTGGCAGCACCACTAATTTTTTTTAAATTTTAGTCTCCGTACATTGCTTTTTATAAAATTAATATGCATTGTATTATATTATTTTCATTGCAAATTACATGAAAATTTTTATAAATTATTGTTATTTGTGTTGTTGCCGAAAAATGAAAATGAGAACATCCTACTTTTTCTACTTTTTCATTGCACATTTTTTGCTCATGCAATGGGCATTAAAGGAAATTAGAATGCTCCAAACCAAAATTGGCTAGAAACAAATCAATAAACTTTAATGATTCTAATTCTAAAAGTAAATATTAATAGAAAATAGCATGATACAGAGAAATATAAAAATTAAAATTACCTCGATAATATTATCTTCAAAGTATATGACAGCCACGCGACGCAAATTCAGAAAAGAGATATTTACGCATCACGATTTCGTCCTTTTATACACAGTGCTCATTACAGTGTGCCAACCTAGCAACAACCATGCTAGTTCTCAATTCAAACTATGAGAGCAAATAACTTTCTCGTTTTCGTAATTTTGTAACAGTTTAAGGCAAAAAATCAGTAATCTTGTAAAAATAAATATGTTAACGAACAAGAATAGGCACAGCTCTAATTGCTGGAACTTATCACTGACTCATTTAGGTAGTCAACTTTGAAAGTAGTCCCTCGAACGCCGGGTTTCCCAAATCACGTGATCTGCAGTTCCTGGCACAGATATCAAGACGAAGATGATGACGTAAGATGGAACTTTCCACTCTATATTGCAGGACATTGTCTCGTTCATAATTATACTCTTTGGCCTCGTTCATAGATAATTTTCTTTTATTGGATTGTTTCAGGTTTATCTCTAACAGTAATTATTAGTTATTTCGGGAGCTTGGTTTGACAAGATTGTAACTGCAAACACCAATGTTCCGAGAAAATTCATTTAAAAGTGTCATTTTATAATCTGCCTTTTCTATTTATGGATACATGTGTTGTAATTGTATGTTGTCACGTTTCCGTTGGTCTTTTGTAAATGAGAAACTAATCTTATAACAATACCATCCGGAGAATTTGACACTCGGCTCCCATATATCTGCATTTCGCCGAGTCACCACGCTTGGGTTTGACTCTGGAGCCGGCGCGCGTGACAGCGAATGCAACGGACAGCGTAGAATGCCATAAAAAGCGCCAGGAAAGTGCTATCGCTGTGTTGACAGAGATCATTTCAGCACTATTTAATGACTGACAAACTACTGTAGGAATATGGAACAAAGATTATCTTCGAAAACTAAGACACCTTTACTTTAAATTATGATATACACAATAGACCTCGTAAAATGTCCCATCCAAAATACACCCTTATAAAAGTACACCTAATAGAAGGCATTCATGTCCGTGAAGTTGGCACCACATACACAAACCACTGAATCATTTAACATTCGTTTGTACAATTTGCACCACAAAAACATTGGCGTTGTAGCCAAAACACTTAAAGATACGCACTTTTTGATTGTAGGTCTAGTGACACAACTTACACCATAGCCCCCACATGCGTAATAAATATTTGAAAACATGTATAAACTCTGTACCTGGTTGTGCACCGAATAGTTCCTCCAGAATTTTCGTTGTACAAGAAACTCAATAATGGTAGAGCAGGAGGTTGAACCGGAAATGTAACGCATTCTTGTCACAGATATCGTAGAAAATTGTGAAAGATCATAACTCATATCGAATTTGACCTAGGTTTTATTCGGATGGTTTCCCCTCAATTGTTGTTTGTAGTACAATTAATATAAACTAAGCCATTTTATAGGTGCGCGCTTGATAGGCCATCTCTACCTTAACATTAAGTGCAATACATCCAGTAAATGTGGACCATACTCGTCGCTTTCTACCTGACGTTTGTCGTTTTTTCCGCATCAGGAATATGACTTTTACTAAACTTATTGGTATCAAATGATTTACTTCCAACAAAAGTTTAATTTTTTGAAAATCTCTATGTTATTGAGCAAGACCTTGTTTTGGAGGGGACTTTTGTATTGTTAACTCACTTTCTAGATATGAACGCGATAAATATGTTGTTTTTTTGTGCCTGCGGAGACCAACGGCTATTGTTATAGGCTATTAGTAGGTAATGGTTTACCCTTTCAGTAGTAGTTTGTTTATAATATTTTACTGATATTTTGCGCCGCCTCTATTGGCGTGTGACACTCCATTATTCCTAGCCTCCTTAATATTAGCATATCCAAAAGTGGTCATAATTTAAAATCATAATGTTATTATGTTACAGGATTCTTAGCTGAGGACAAAGAAAAAAGTAGAGCACCGTCGGCCTGTGATATTGCAGTTGGTCTGAAATTGGTGAAAATGTGGAAGTGTCTGATCAAAATTCTATTTCCTTCACTCCGGATTTTTCTAGATGCTTTAGGATGTGAACGATGTTAGTTAAGGTAGTTAGTGCGAGATAAGTGTTATAGTCATCATGCCTTTTTTAGTGGCATTATTGAACGATGAGAGGTTTTGTTATGTTCTGTAGAGTTGGTCGATTGTTACCGCTAGATTTTGCTTAACCGAGACGTAAAATGTCTGTTTAATCGCGTTGCTGCGGCTGTGAGAAAAAATCTCACGTTTCTTCATTTACTTCAGTCGCACGCCATTTTTCAACACAGGGAGATAACGCTGCAGCAATGCCTTCTCTCATATCTCGGCTGTCCATCCGATCGTCTTTCTTATCAGTTCTGCAAAAGGAATCAATCTGTCATGGCGCTGATTAACTCAGCGCGTCCTGTGAGATAATTTCTCACTCGCGAGGAACCGCGTTACATTGCGACATCATTATCGAAGCGACTGTTTAGAATTTTCTGGTCACAATCCTTATTTTCTTCCCTATTTGAATAAATTGGGAATTTAGGGTAAAAAACTATCCTAACTATATGTGGAAAATAGTTTATTCATTCCTGAAAATAATTAATTTTGTCAATTTCTGTCTGCAGTTTGCAGTAGACTGCAGATGCTTAAGCATAAACATGCAATCTAATTGCAATATATTTTTTAGAGATAAGAACAATAAGCTCTACTTTGTGAAAATTTACACCAAATTCATCACATAAGACCCTTAAAAACTGAACTATCCAAAGCAAATTCTTTCATGTTATAAATTATTTTCCCCACAATATTTTTGTTTAGATTGGTAAAATCATTAGTTTGAATAATCAAATATTTTCACATTTTTTTCATAACTTTATATACATCATTGATGATGTCATAAATTTACCGTTATTTTTTAAACGGAAAATATTTCTAAATTGAAAGAAGTTGGAACTTTCTAAGTTTCCAGTAACCGCTTCTACTCAACCAGGACAATATTTTTTTTATTACTGACTTAACAACATACCCTGCTATATAATACAAAATATTGTCCTTAGCTAATGTGGTATGGCCGTTCAATCTTGAAATGCCTCGATCCAACATTTTCTCATTCACTTTTTATTTGCCATCTTGAGAAGGATCCATTTCATATAAAAAGGATTTTGGTAAAACTGATTGTTGGTACGATACCATCTAAAATCAAAAATGCAGCCAGACCTATCAATTTCTAAAGCAAATTGGCGGAAGTGGAGGCAGCTATGCTACTTTTTTAACATTAATTGCCTCATTGCAGATTTAAACTGAAGAGCATTCGGATTATTATTAGAACCAAATCTTTGTCTTATTTTTGAAAAGAGAAGTTTCTAATGATTTTGGGAAATATATGTTTAAAAAAATCATACCCTGAACATCGGCAAATAAAACACTTGCGACAGAGGGAACTGATTTAACACCCAGAGCAAATCCTGTAACGAATGTCTTTGTTTGGGCTAGAACGCAAAAAATTACCATGAGCGTCCTTTAAAGAAAACAAATACTGTACCAATGGGATAATGACGCTGACAATATTTTCTGAGCGTATTGGAGCTTTGAATCCCTTAGAAATAGATTTCTGGTGTTCAAGAAATCGAATAATCTGTCAATTTTGCGAATGAATTTAATACATTTTTTTATTTATATTTTATGTGTCCACGTTAAACACAACGCATCTCCAAAGCCCCTTGGGGGGCGATGAGCACTTTGCGCTTTTGGAGTTAATCCTCCATTAATCGCTGCGCGGCAGTAATCCTCAATTAATCTCGTCTCGTCTCAGACTGACGAGAAGAAGAAGAGGACTGCCAGGTAGCATATCCACGTACGCCTCTCGTGTCCGTGAAGTTGGAACCACCACCACAACCAAAACCACTGAAACCATTACCATACGTTTGTACCTGGTTTGTACCCATTTGTACCACAAAAACATTCGTTTGTACCACAACCACTTACAAGATACAGCACTTTTTAATGTGGTGGTGCCAACTTCACACTGGCACCGCCACCATCGTAAAAATATTTGAAAACATAAATCGTTTGTACCTGGTTTGCACCGAATAGTTCCACCAGAATTTTCGTTTGTACCAAAAAACTAATAAGGTGGCGGGAGGTGAACCGGAAATGTACCACCATTCTCGTCACAGCAATCGTAGAAAATTGTGAAATCATACTCAATCGATTTGACCTGGTTTGTATCGGATGGTTTCCCCTCAATTGTTGTTTGTACTGTACAATTAATGAAAATACAGCCATTTTAAGGTGGCGCTTGATAGCGCATCTCTACCCTTAACATTAAGTGCAATACCATCACAGTAGAAATGTGGAGCCATACTCGGTCGTTTCTACCTGACTTTTTCCGTTTTTTCACATCAGAATATACCTTTTACTAAACTATTGGTATCAAATGATTTACTTCCAACAAATTTTAATTCTTTTCGAAATCTCTATGTTCATGTGAGCAAGACCTTGTTTTGGAGAGCACTTTGTATTGTTAACCACTCACTTTCTAGATATGAACGCGATAATATGTTTTTTTTGTGCTGCGGCGACTAACTGGCTATTGTTATCATTAGTAGGTATGGTTCTACCTTTCAATATAGTTTGTTTATAATATTTACTGATATTTTGCCGCCGCCTCTCATTGGCGTGTGACACCATTTGTGTCTCGGGAGAGCAAATTGCGGAGCCACGATTGTATGCGAAGAGAGCTGACTCGCTGTCAGTGAGAATCGCATAGCGGGAAATTTCAAACTTAAATTTGAAACTTGCACTTATGACCACAAAACATATTTGGTGGAAAACACTATTATTAAACACTATTATTAAATCTTTTGAAATGGGCAAAAGAATAAAGTAATGAATTGAATATAATAATTACAATAAATTAGCAGTATTAGTTATATAATTGTATGTTTTTATAAATTTTAGCATTTTCCTGAATTCATAAACGAAATATTAATATATGAATATTAATTAAATATTAACATGAATTATATAAATGTTATATAATTAATGTTAATATTAATTAAATCTTCTTATTGGCAAAAGAATAAAATCATGAATATAAGAATCACAATTAATTAGCAGTATTAGTTATATTACTTTATGATTTTATAAATTGGTATCATTTCCACACCACTTGATTGAAGTAGATAACATTTGGTGCGTTTTTTTCAATGCAATACTTTTTGCAATTTCATCTCTTTCATTTTTAGATAATCTCATACGACCGAGTTCACATTTATGGTCAACATGAGTTTTAAAAAATTCTACCATTACTTCGCCTGAAGGAAGATTCAATACCTCCATTCTAGCGGGCCAGTAACCATTTATTTTATTACTTCCCAATATTTTTTCGTGACGAACGTTTGAACCTCTACTTTTAAA